TTTTTTCTATATTACTAAACATTTTACATGCTCCATAGTTAATTACTGCTGTCCAAGTTGCTTTCTGATTAGTTTCTTTTTTTGACTGAACCCTGAGGGGTACCCCAGGTGAATTTTCGGCAGAACAAAAGAGCTGCCGAAAGTAATTAAAATATAAATTGTTCGAGTCAGGTTTTTGCGCTAATTCCAAATATGTTATTAATTGTGACTCAAGTTGTAGCTTTTATGATAAAAATCTCAATTTTCAGATTTAAGGCCTTATACGTCCCACTTTCTTTATTTTATTTTTGGTAAATTCAAGCACTTGCTAGTCAAGACTAATCAATTGTACCATCAATTTCAGTTAATTCTACACCCATTTAGAGCCAATTCTATACCGGTTTCAGACCAATTTCGACCAATTCCAAGCCAAGAATTGGAATTGAATTGGTAGGAATTGGAATTGGCGCATCCCTAGATCTTATTGATATACTACTACTTATGATTACATGTACAAAAGACAAAAATTAATATTTCGAGATCGTAAGACTTCAAATTTCTATCGTGCGTAATTCCGCGTAGCGTATACGTTGTTTTTCTTGAAAAGTTTTCTTTTGCTCATATATTCCTAAAATAATATTCACTCCTCGTTATATGAGGACAAAGCACGAAAACAAATCTTCCGATCTTGAGTACCTCAGACTACGCCTTATAATGCAATGTATTACAAATATTTTTGTGCGTCATGATCAAATTCACCTATTTTATATAAACGAAATATTTTTCAACATCCCACTTACGTTTTCGTTCCAAGAGTGCAAATCACACGTAATATAGTCGCAGCATGACATTTTTCTTTTTTTCTTTTAAAAATACTTCTTTTACATCACATTGAATTTACTATCCTACAATAAAGAAATGTTGTAAATAGTTTCCAATAATCATCAATTTGGATCGAAATTCCTATCGAAAAAATTCAATATTATTCTGTTCGATTTGATAGCAAGAATAGTAATTTCTTTTGCTAATCAATGACATTTAATTGCTATGCTTAAAAGTGTACTTTCAAAAAGATGAATAATTTAATCTTTCTATGGAACTAATTGAACATTGCTTATGCTCCGAATATTCATATGTAAATAATCATGGTGCTTTCCTAATTTATAGTATGCTGTAACAGTGACAGACTTATTAGTAAATTTTGTACTTTTCTTTACTGTAATATCTCCACGTGATTGAGCCTCGCGCACTAAATAATACTTAGGGTATACCAAAAGTTCTGGCCGCGAGATCTTTAGTTCGACAAAATCCATAGTTTTGAAAGTTTTATTGCGCAAATATATATAGTAACATGCTTGCTCTATGATACTGCATATATTGTAGTTCTATATTGGATTTAATTCTAACAGTCATTTTAGAGAAAATCGATAATATAGTGGCTATACCAATATCTAACAGATCCTTGTGGAGTGTTCGGATACATTCTGGAATATTCTATGTTGTTTATTTGCCTCTCGTGTAACGTTCTATGACGTCATGCTCGAGAATATTACATTCCGATAGTATATACAGGTGAAAGATCGCTCGGTTTTAACTCATTTCATTCTTCAAACAAGCTGTTAAACAAGACTGATGAATTTAATAGGTACTATATCAAAATTCGAACTATTCCGGGAATAGATGCAAAAACAATCTACGAAGACTAATATATGCAGTATCATAGAGCAGGCATGTTACTATATATATTTGCGCAATAAAACTTTCAAAACTATGGGTTTTGTCGAACTAAAGATCTCGTGGCCAGAACTTTTGGTATACCCTAAGTTTATTTTTCTTTGAAGTTCCGCTTTTTTCAATGCCATTCCAATGAAATACCGATCTACTGATTAGTATTTTTTCTTGCGTCTACATCGAATGAAATGATTTTTCGATGTTCTTTTATTTTTTTATTTTTTTATACATACATCATATTTCTCTTAAGAATATTCGACAATTCCACAAAGAAGCATTTCCCCTCCAGCATCTTTCACTTATGGAACATGATAGAAATGTGTATTGCGCAGTTATATTCATCGCTGATAGATTGTAGAAATTTCAAGCCTTCATTTACTGTGTTATTTTTATCTGCATTATTCGAAATAAAATTTAAAAAAGAAGCTTCATTAATATCTAACTTGAACTAGATTCGCATTTAAAAAATTTAAGAATCGCGGTTTATCGCTTAGTATGACAATAGAAGGAAAAGTAAAAAGTACAAAATAAAATATGAGCCATTCTCGCTGTGCTCATTGAAGCATACAACAGACCCTGTCTAAGCAAAAGAAAACAATGTTTTTTTTTGTCAGCAATCCGATGACATCATTACAAGAGAATATCAAATTATAAAAAGAAAAAAACAATCGGATAGATGCTCATCTGCGTGATTCATATGCATGCATTCAATTTCCGTTTTGATTTGTTTACCGCCAAGTTGAATTCAAAGAGAAAAAAAAGCTTTTCTTTTTATAAATATTCCAACTTTTAGTTTAACAAAAATAAGAAAATAAATAATATTTCTATACAAGTGATTCACGTACACTTTGTGTTGCAGTGACCGTAGGTTTAATTGGATAGAAAACAACATAATCAGCGTTTCGTCTTGCAAAAAGAATTTGATGTACTTGTACGCGAAAATTTCTTGTCGAAACATAATATATGTAAAAACTAGACACTGGATTTGCATAAAACAATATCGAACATGTAACATGATACAGAAAGAAGACTGACGTCTGTTTACGATTATTTCCATTGAATAAAACATAATACGATTGTTCAATACAATATGGAATTGATGATAAAATAATTGCTAAAGATAACAGTAGAAGCATACGAGATAATTGTTTATCGCCGTTAATTAATCCGTAGCGATTTTTTCGCTTACTAATTATTCTTAATTGTCTAAGTGTCAATAAACCAAATACAGAAAGAAATATAATTGGCATTATACCATGAAGAAATATTTGAAATGTATATAAATAATAATAGGAATAAGTAATTGACACAATAGTGCAATATCCCGCTTTCGAAACACGATAATATTTCATCAATGGAATACTATGCATGCCGAATAATACGACAAGAATTAAAATAATAGATTGCGTTCGTCTTCGTGTTGTTATTAGTTTTCTGAGACGAACTTCCCTTGACGATATTAAATATCGATCGAATGTAGCTAAACATATGCATGCTAATGACGTTAAATCAAATGTATGCAAAATAAAGTAACGTAATTTGCATATGAGAAATTCATTGCTTTTTGTGGTGTCAAATTCATAACCATCGAGTAGAATTCGAGTCAATAATGGATAAATAATAACAATTAAATTTGATATAGACGATCCAAGCAAATATAACGAACTATTACTTGCACCACATGGGAATGAATATTTGGATTTTTTTTTCGAACGACACCATTTTGTAAAAACACAAATGTTTAAAATATTCCCAATGGAACCAAATACATACATTAGAATACCAGCAAAGATCATTAATTTGTGCGAAATAAAATCGAATTCGTCCATTTTATGAAGCATGAAACCTTTTTCCCTTTAGCAAAAAATAAAAAAAACACTGGTCACTTATGTGAGTGCGTGTATGTATTTATATATGAAGTTTTTTAACATAAGAAAAAGAAATATGCCATGAGGAGAGAGAGAGAGAAAAAGAAAAGCGTTTGATTAAGTAACTGACTTGGAAAAGCATTGCCTTCTGAAACCCCACAGTTTATTAATTTAAAGTATAATCGAGCAGTAAACATTATAGGATGTAATAAAAACCATTGAATATACTAAAGGAGAACATGTTCTGTACGCTCAATAGATACTCAATGTTCGGGATCAAAGAAATCTTTCAACGAAAATCTTTTTACAGGTTTTTTCTTATTTCAAAAAGAAATGTTTTTTAGCAAAAATATTTATTTGATCCAGATCATATCTATCGCTGGAAAAGAAAAAGTACTTTTATCTCTTTTTCGTGATGCAACATCGATAAATAGCTTTAGGTATAATCATATGTTTTAATTTTCCTCAGATCCTATATAGCTAAGAATTCTCGACACAGATATAGTATCAATCTAATTCTATAAAAAGATTTTATTAATGATCATCTATGACTTTTTCATAGATTTCGTTTCATGTTAATCTAATTTTCTTTTTGAGACTGAATCAACTTCTACATAGTTGTATCTCTATTAGTTTAGTAAGCTGAATAAGAACTTTGCTATATGAAATATTCATTTTTGGCTATTTACTTTTTTATATCTTATTCTGGTTTTTATTTAATTATGTGAGTGATCTATATCTATATCTATATCTATATATATATATATAAATGTGTTGCTTACTGTGCTAGTATGCGTCTTTCGTTCAGTAATCTTATTGTTGAATAGTTCGCTCCATTTTCTTGTCGTCGTCTATTTTTATGCCAATGAGTGAGATTGCGTGAGGAAATTGGATTTCTGATTGATTTTATTAGAAGAAAAAGGGGAAACTAAGCGTGTTAACATTGTTTTTTTATTATAACTGAACAAAACTCTGATGCATATATATATATATATATATACATCATCAACTACTTTGTCTATAAAAATAACTCCAGATATATTGTTTAGTAAGGGATGTTTTTTTTTCTATTTTCTTCGGATAGAAATGTTAATGGTAAAATAGGAAATAAACTATATGTATTGTTCTAATTTTAAATCAGTTTTTATCAAAAGTTGGCGTTATCCGGTAAATGTCGATTTTCTCTATGAACTATGATATGACATTGAATCTTTGTTTCCTAAACTAGGGCGGTTCAATCGATCATTATTAATAATTATTTTTAGCATTGACGTCATGTGTGTGATTTTAACAAGAGAGATAACATGTGAAACCGGAAGAATTCGCTTTTTTTGCCGTCATGCCTACGCAACTAATCGATAGAAATTACTTAATGAAGAGTCGATTGTTGTATGTCTGAGTGTTTGATTCATTCGAACAGCTGATACCCGATGAACCCTATCAAGAGAAGTTTAAAGTACAGAATGACCTTCACAACTACTTCACTAAATTTATTTTCGATTTTTTTACGAATGCTTTCATAGTTGCTAATAAGAATCAGCATTGTGATTTTTCTAGAAAAATATATTTGAATTGTTCATAATGATACAGAAAATAATTATCTATCAAAAGGAAGTCGTACAGCTCTTTGCAATATTTATTGGCCGGAACAATATCAGTCTTGCGGAAGGCACTGAAGTAGTTTTTTTCTGCTGTCTCGCATACAAATATTTTTATTTTTGTGCTTTCAGTTAAAGTAGGTGCCCAGGTCGAAAAATCTGACATAAGATCTTATATCAAGTCGCACAGTCAGATTCTTGAAAGATCTTACACATTAATAAGATCTTTCAAGAATCTGACTGTGCGACTTGATATAAGATCTCAGAGACTACGATTTTTTGTATGATTTTCGTATGATCTTGTAAGATCATACAAGATCAGATTCAAATTCTTATCAGATCTTAGTATCTGATTGTTTGTCCTGGGTGTCTCGATGAAAAATGTCTCCGTGAGTTGAATGATATTTTGTTTTCTAGACAATCCTTTGGACTATTATTATGGCTGGTTCAAATAGAAGATTACTTTAGAATTCTTAAAGCCGAGTATATAAATTACTATTTCAATTTTTATTGACATTTTCTAAATTTGATATATCCTTTTTTCTAAAACAAAACATGTATCTAACTACTGAGCATTTTTCTCTTTTTGTGTACTCAAAACGTGAGTACACTCTCGATTCGGTTAGTTGTCTTGAAATTTTGTACACAGAATGATCTCATCAATATTTCAGTCGAGTTCGAAGATGAGAAGGATCCGTCAAGAAATGGCTGAGTTATCGAAAAAAGTGTCATTATTGACCAGACCATCCCTGAGGGGAGGGGGTACAGGGAATTTTTCAAAAAAAATTTTTCTCAGAATTATTCAAAACATATATAAATCGACTCAGTTTTTGCAGTACACGTAACAATCGGATGCGAATTGTTCACAATCGCCTACAGACTTCGTGTGTTTTCTGTGCAATTAGTCAGCTCATATACAAGTACTTGCATTCATGTGATAAAGGTGATAGGACGAAAGATGAAACATATTTTTACCTATTGCAAAAAAAATATCGAATTGATCTATTTAATGTCAGGATATTTTATTTATACTTACAGGGTGTATCGGAAATAGTTCAATACCAAGATTGAGTAATGCTGGAGAATTAGTCGACAATCGATTTTTGAACAATAAAACCAATTATACGAGGGAAATCGTTTTTATCAAAAGATTTCTTCTGAACGACCATTCGATAATTTTCTTTTGACACCCGTTTCCTCTCTGAGTAGTTGAAATGTGTTTCGAGGAAAGAATGATTAGAGAAAGCATTGGCACATGAATCAGACAAGAAAATAGAAAATTGAGTGATATTTGTATCAACGTGTTTATTTTTAGATTTATTGAAGTAAACAGAAACAACAATAGTTTTTGAAAGTACTCGTTTCGTATCTAGTCGTTCTCGCAGCAAAACCAAAAATAGTCAATGGCGCCTTTCTATTCATAATTGGGATCTATGACAAACGCATTCTTTTCTCAAGGAAAAAGTCCCTATGTTATCTCTCTAAATCTACACAGAACTCAGCACGCACAAATAATTCTGTTGAATAACAGATCTCAGGACAAATACAAAATCTATTTCAGCTGTTGCAGAACAAATAAAACAAATAGGTCTGTGATCGCATTGTAATAGTGACTATCCTGAGGGCCTGAAAGTCATTCACACGCACATCCTGACGTATCCGTTCTATTGCATGACTCATTTGAATGAGATCAATTGTCTTGCTATGAAATTCATCATCGTCGAATTAAGAATCTCGTTATAAAGTCCATTGAACAAGGTTCAAAAAGACAAAGTGTGGATTCAATAAAATATGCGTCGAACGATAATGACACAGCTTGGAATGATTCATTTTTCGAACGCTGCATAGCTGAATTTTTCTAGGGTATGATTTTCCTCTGTTTCATAATGTAATTACGGTGCACATTCAGAAGCAATCGATCACATGGGAAATTGTCCAAACGTTCGACAATGTTATGCAAGTAACTAACCACAGTTTGGGGTAGACTTTTTTCTGAATATTCCACACAACTCTTCCAATGATTTCTCAACTGACGCTCTGAAAAGAAAGAAATTTGAATTTCAAAGTCAAAAATTTTATTAATTGCTTCAATTTTTTTTCTCTTGTTGTATTTATAGTTTTTCGGATTTATTGAAAGAAACCCTTCAACTAAAAATATTTTTAGATAAGTTGACTCGGCTAGTTGTAAGCGTAAGTCTTGGCTACATTGTGACACGAACCTTATTTCAGTATGACTATATCTGAGCGAGAAATGCTTAGTAGATAGATGCCTAGGTCTTCATCATCAAACTCTTGATCAATTCAAATCCTGAAAAATGTTTTCTGTCTAACAAGAACTGATCTTTATTCAGTTACAAAGAACAGGCGTTCACTTTTGCGTTGTTGCGTATGCCCAACAATTTCACTATTTGTGAAGCGATTTCTACAGGCTTTCACAAATAGATTATCTACGTTATTAAAGCAAACAAAATAATTATGTTGTTCGTAGTGTACTTATGTCTCGCAATAAGAAAAAAGGAAGTTGCAATACATTTATTTCTTATTTGTGAACAATGGATACAAAAGTTTCATTCAAACGACAAGATGAGGACGATTCTTGTACGTTTTCTAATTTTATTCTCGTTTTAATGTTGACCATGACGTTACAGTATCAAATTGTGGTGGACGAAAATAACTGTAGGACATGAGATTATCACTAACTTTTGTTAAAATTATTTTGCCGCCGTCACGAGTAATACCGCCGGGTTGCGTATTAACTTCATGAAATGTATATCGATCTGCCGATGAATCTTTTTCCAACAATTTCCATATACCATCACTTCCACCAAGAGATGGATATTGAATACGAAATTCATTATTGTTCTCATCAGCAGTCAATCGGATTGTCCATGTAACTCCCTCTTGTTGATAACCAACACCAGTCCAAACACCATTGATCCAGTTTGATGGCATAACTTAATTGGCTGCCTATTAAGTCTAAAGACAAAGATATAGAATCACTACAAATTTCTATCGTTCGAAGTCTCTGGTGAGAAAATTTGAGATATGAAATCAATTTTTGGAATATGATTTGCTTGAAACTCGAACGGCGTGATGAAAGGACAGGAAAATTTTGTCTAGTAAAAATAAAATCATTCGTACCGATGAAAAGCAAAAGAATCAGTGATGAAAAGAAACGTAAGTCACTTCACCTGTACTTACTATTAAATAGTTGTTGATGACTGATACGTTTGTAGTTTGATTGCTCATTATTCATTTTTGATAGGAATGATTACATACTAGTGAATACTTGTGCAGTCGAACTTCGAGTGAATGAATCATGCTCAACAATTAATGTACATAAACTCGAAACCGCATGTAATCGGTGACAATGACTACGGCTGATTTTTTATTGCAACATCTTAATACAGTTATCAATAGTGCAGACTGAAACGATCCGTTGCACTTGGATCTTCATTGGCCGATCAATGACACGTCATAAAGGTTAATGCACAATGAAATGGGAGTCTGGCTCTTGCGATAAAAATTCAAGAAAAATGAGCGGCAATGGATAAAAGAGAGAGCTGAAAATTGGTACACATCTAAACGCAACCATGGGCGGGCAGCAATACAAATATAAAGGACATACACCCTCATAAGCAGTTCTAGAAGGACTGCTCTCTACACGTTGTACTGCTAAATTAATGTTGGCGTTTCAGCGGAGTTTTCACTTTTGGTATTTCTATTATGAACAAAGCTGAACAAACAAATGTTAACTCGTAAGATTACTGAGATCACGACAGTATCCTGAACATTTTATGCAAAACAAATGATTTCTTACTGAAATATCAAATTTAGTCTCGGATCAAAATCCGCTTGTTCCTATTTTTTATAAGTACCGTAATAAGGATAAAAATAATCTAGTGCAACGGCTGCAATTTCAGAATATCAGTACGCACGAGAAATCTTTCTAGAACTTTATTTCTGTCAATTGACGCGCCATAAGGAACGATAAGCCTAATCTTATGCGCGAGGTACAATTGTAAGTGGCCACCTCGTTAGAATATTTGGCTAGTACTATAATATCATAGAGAACATTAGAAAAAATTTCTCTCAAATGACCTACCTAATTCGAATTATAATATAAATGAGCCTCACACTACCTGAGATGAATTCGATTATAAATTTAAAAGAAAACAAGCCAACAATAGCGTCTGGCAGAAAAAACATGTTTTTTTTTGTATGATAAGTTTATAGATGAGATAGAATTTTCCTATAACTACGGTAGGAATGCAGAGTGTGAACATAGATGAGCGTATTTCATGTCCTAAATGACAACCAAACGCTCCTAAAAGTTGAAAGTAGTTCCGAAAAGTATGACAGCCTATCCAGAGTCAGCCACACCCCACCTCTAGGGAGTCGATTATATTGTGATTCATCAAATATCGATCTTTATTCAAAAGTTATACAGTAACGACTGTGTCATTATTGTAATTCAGCCTTTTCCATAACGTAGGTATAGCTAGTAATGGAGAGTATATTTCAACTTCAAATAGAATAGCCGGCAAGATAAAGATTTGTGGTCACCCAGCCTGTAATCACCTTGCTTGATTTGACATATATTCTCTGATTTGATGAGCAATAAGGCAAAGTGAATGTTTCCGAATCAAAGCTGACCGCATTTTGCGCATATATGAATATTTGTTTGAAATGAGTGAATGCTTGCCCATCACACTCTGTCCATATCCAAAAGTTCACAACACCATTAGTTTCAGGTGGGTTAAATCCACTGACAATTGATATTATTATGCCCAACCGTTGCGTATTGGTTGGGACTCTATTACGTAGCGAAAAGCTTATCTCTTCTACAGTTTTGAACTCAACAGAACCAATGTTTATAGGATTAACACCCGGCTGAACCGACCAAACAGATGATTTACCATCTGAAAGCAATTGATAAATTATTTTCATGAAAAAGAATTGTTTTGAAACTTTTTACCTGATTGAAGCAATCTACTTTCTTGCTGAGTAAAGTTCCGTGCCTCATTTAAACTTATCATCAAGAAAAGGCAAAATAGAATTATTTTCATTCTTAAAATCGGTATGCTATTTTTGAAACTATGAAAACAGTAACGAACAACGAATATCCTTCGATATTTAAATACTAAATCGCTGATAAAGAGGTGAACAATGGCACACTGTCTAAGGCAAGATTTTATTGGTTTCTCTCTGTTTCTCTCTCTATGCATTTCACTTTATATGAATCATAAGCCTCATTAGTTATCCGATCAAACGATAACGTTTGCTTTGAATAATTCATCTTTTTAAAATAATGTCGAATGAAATTATTCGTCAATAAAATGAATACTTCATATTAATACTTTCCATAGAAGTTTAAAACATAAAAGCAGACTCTTTAAACTAAATCACACTTCTATCAACGTATTATTACTAATTAGCGTTCATTGCATAAAACACCGTGATACTAAGCAAAGTACACTATATCCACTTCCGTTGAATTTTCGATCTCATTCTTAAAAAGTTTGAATTAGTAAAAGCTTCCAATAGGAATTTTCGAGGCATCAAGATATGGCTTTCAAACACACAGATATGCAGATTCTGAATCCAACTGAAATTTAGATTATTCAAATGAATTCAATTTACGATTAATGTATTCTTTAAAATATAAAGAATACATTGAGTCCTCGAAGAGTGGTTCGGTTTTTTTAATGGAACAAATAGAATCTAGAGGTAAACTAGAAGAATCTGGGTACTGAATGAGTTGCTCTATTGAACTAATGATATACTACAGAACGAAGTAAATCTATCGATCCCATGTGAAGAATTCTTTTACCTATATTATTTGATTCGGAGTCTAGCATATCATTCTCTAATAAATCATCAATAGAACATCTTCATTGTATATTAATGTATTCAAATTTAAGCTGTCATTTCCTAGAAAAATGAGTAAGAACAACAAGATTCACTATCTGTTTTCTTCATCGAAATATCTACGAGATTTCCTATTTCATAATCATCTGACAATAATTATTGTATGCGAAAATATTGGATAACATCTTGTTCTTAGAAATGCATTTCATACAAAAAAAAAGTCTAAATAAATTATTAATTCACACGCACTTATAAACGATCAATGTCAACAGAAGAAAATCCTTTTAACACCATGCAAATAATAGCAGTTAAAATACAGATACAGAAAGAGCATATTAATCATCATTACTCGTTTTATTTTCAAACTTTGAATTAGAAATCTATTTTCAATATTTAATTAGTTTGTACTTGCCATAAAGACACATTAAACATACCATGTATGAGAACAAAATCATATTGATTTTATCAAGTATCGTATTGAACAAGTTCACACTTAAAATATTTGAATATGCTACTGAATTGATCATTATTTTCTTCAACAATACAGATTATTCTTAAATTAATACGTAGCGATAACGTTATCAGAATATTTTACCCTGTAGACCTTCGCATATACCTTCAAGTGATTTATTTTTCGATTTCGATAAGACGCTGAGTTTATTGTGTACGTCACCATAGTTTATATAGATAAATTTGATAGCTATATGATATAAGAATGTAACAATGAAATATGGCGAACTTTTTCAATAGAACAAAAATAAATAGGGTAACACAGTTCACAAATTATATAGGACAATATATGAATCATCTATCTGTTTCTATTCTTTCATAATAGGAGGGACAAAATCAACAAAAATAAATACGTATTCGTTCGAAATTCTATTAATTAAAAGCGGCAACATTGTCAGCGTACGACTCGTAGAGATAAATACACTGAGATCATAGAGTAGAAGAAAGGAGAGGATTCTAGAACAATCGTGAATATGCTTCAACGAGGAAAATTTACGATCTTTAGCGTTACTCATTGAATTCTTGAGGAATAAGCACAAAAAAGAAAAACGACATAGCAGAATGTTCACGTTGAAATCGCCACGAGACATCGTGATTCATCAACATAATGGAAGAGCGCCACAAGAAAAAAAGAAGAACAGAGAACGAAAGAGTGTACTCGCTCTCACCCTGGATATATATACACACACCACAAGACACGAAGGAACACATAAGGAAGCAATCGCAACGAACATTTACACAAAAAGGATACTTGGTACGAATCTTATTTTATTACGGTATATTTTTAATATTAAATAAAAATGGTTCGGGAAATTGATCTATTACGAAATCAAACTTCTATTGACTATGTCGCATCAAATATTGTTACTGGTGAAGGTATTCAAGTAGAATATTCACCAAATAAAGACGATTTAACATACAAACACCGAGAAAGTTTTACCGACGATGATTCTGGATTTACCGAAATAACAGCAGCATCAACATGTGTATCACCTATTCACATCATATCAGATGATGATTATGAGTTAGCATTCAGACTATCGGATGATAGTAAAAAAGAATTCTGTTCGGATATGTGTTTAGTATTTCATGCTGAATTTCAATTAACATTCGGGCGCTATTTTACATCAGATCCATGGATATTAATGCCGTTGTGTACTGATAACACATGTAAATTACCATCTGATGCATTGTGTGATGTTGAAATCGCCAAGGTACGTTTTGAATGTGACACCTGTGGACATTGTTGGACATCGATGCGTGGTCAAATATCCTTCTTTTATGATTGTGTTTCACATGTACTTTATTTTAAATTGTTTACACAAAACTGCGATCAATGCGAGAAAATTCTATCGCCATTATGGTATCCTGAAGAAGTTTGTCGTGTAATAAAAAATGTTTTTGTCATCGTACAACAACATGCCTATTCAGATTTAAAAACAGCAGTTCAGCCGAATTATTATCGTCGTATTGGAAATCCAAAAGGACAACATCATGGATGCCAGTCATGTCGAGATGGAGTTTGCGTAGCATTAGCTGCACAAGAGCTTGGCTGCAAACTTGTTAAATAAGTCATTTTTTGTTAAATACGAGCATATCTTTTTCATCGAGTATAAAATGTCATCGGTTTAAATTTCTCGGTATGTCTAGTTTTTCGTTTCCTATCTTAATGTTGCGTTTATTGTACATATGGGGCAGCACATCATATTTGTTTGTCTTTTCGACTCTTGTAATTTTTTACAGTTTATCTAAAACTAGTTTTCTGTATGTATACAGTTTTTCTTTTCTTTACTGTTGTTTACTACATTTTTTTTGTGTATTTGTTATGCACTATAAGATGAAAATAAACAGTTAACAAACGTTATCTTATTTGATTGCTCATACGAACAAAGTTGTGCAAAAATTGTACTCGATTAATAAATTATATAGAAGTATGAAGTCAAACAAATAGTATGATAAACGAGACCATTCCGCATGTTATGGTCTCTTTTTCTTCCTCTCATCTTGAAATGATCTCCTTTTTTAATGTTGGGGTAATACGAGTCAATATTTTATTTTTAAATAAAATTCAATCCTATTATCATTGTTTCGTCGAGATATTAATCACGTAGGCTTTAAATAGTAAGATACTTAAAATGTCGTAAAAACATTGATGCGTAGTATTCATGGTAAATATTATCATTTGAAGTGGGCCGCTGTGTATTGTTGACAAGAAAATTTGTACTCATTATCATACAGAGGTCAACGAGTGCACGGGTGTCTATATTTGCTTTTTTCCTTCGCGATGTAGAAAATAAAAGCCGCAAGAAATGAATTCCTATTGGTAACGGCAAAAGAAGAAATATTGGGGATTAATCACGCCAAATATTTACAACATCCGTAACACATGATATAGAACAGATATTATCTGTTAATTGGAACTTCATTTATACTGATCCGTATAATTTCATAGAAAACAATTACAAATAGATCGATTCATTCGTCTGGGGCAAAATTCATAAAACTCTGACACGACTCGCTCTATGCATATTTTTAACAAAGAAATTTTTTTCTGTTGGTAATAGCGCCTAAGGAAATAGAATTCTTAATATGCAACACGATGGTTTTTACATCTGCAAATATCTGAAAAGAAAATTGATTATACTACAATATTAATTGGGATTTATAAAGGAAATGAAAATATTATAATTATATAGCATCAAGTAATAATTCAGTATAAAATATTAAAGCTAACGACATCTATCGGTTATAATCATGTTAACAGAAGCCCGTCGAAGAAACCGTGGAGAATATGTGAAAAATGGCACAAAAGTTTGATTGATGTTGAATGAGTACCACGAGAAAGAAAAGAAAGAGAAATCTCATCGCTTATTCTCTTTCATGTCGATAAAATTCTGTTATTTACCTATTTATAAGAATTAACAGGTTTATTTTAATAATTTAGCTATTAAAAACAGTATACATTACTTAATGAACATAATCTCTTAGAAAATTTTTTTTTTATTGTAAAACTTTCAAAAAAGACACAAATTTACTATTGATAGCATACGTGTAACAAATATGTTTTGATTCTCTCGCATTATAGAGCTTCATTTCTGCCTCTTCTGCTATTCTTACATTTGAAATAAAAAACAATATTTGAATAGTTTGAGCACATAATTACATTTCTTTTTTTCTTTGATAGATGAGATGAGAAGGAGGACAAGACGAATAAAAAAAACTTCTCAACTTCAAACCAAATTTGATAGTGTACAACTGAACAATTTCTATGGATTTATTAACAAGAATGCTTCTTTTTTTCCTTCTCATTCGCTTGTATTCTAGATAGTATAAAATGTCGACGAAGGTCGAAAAACGATCATCATTGCATGATTTAATTGATGACATTATTGAATCACCATTATCATCTTATCCAATATATTCACGATTAAAAGATGGTGGCTCAAAAGCATTTCAAAATCGAAATCAAACAAGTAGAACATCATTATTTGATAAATCTAAATATGAAAAAATCGATAATTTAATACCAACAATAACAAATGACTTTCGTGATCGAGCTGTGGGAACATTACCATATTCAAATTCGTCAACGAATACAATGAGTAATGAAGAACGACGTAAAGAAATCGATTTTATTATAAAACATTTGTATGATGGGAAATTATCAACAATTAATGATGATCGTGCAGTGTCAGATGTTTCAGAAAAATCCATGTCGGTGTTGAGTAAAGGACCAATAACCAAAACTACAACAACTACAGCAGCGATTCTCAAAAATGATGACAGAAGGAAAAATAGTATTGATTCTTTTGATGTAAGTCTGTTTAATGAAGTTAAACCAAGAACTAGTCGAAGCTTTTTCCAGGTTTCATACTGTCTTTTGTGATGAAAACTTAATTAGGATTGAAAAACGTTTCCCTTCAAAAAAACGAAGAGTGACAATTTTATGCGAAATTCAAGTCTATCTTAATTCTTGATACGAAGTCTAAGAATATTGAAGCTCTGAGATATATATATATATATATATAAGACGATATTTCACATGTAATTTGAATTTTTTTCGGCATCTTATTCGATTCAATCGATAACTTCGCTGTTAAAGACAGTTAATTTCCTCAATAAGGCTTTGATGATTAAATATGAAACATTTCTAAATATAGATGGCTCATTTTTGAGAGTTTTTCAAGGTATTAAAATGTTTATCGTGCTTTACTTCGCGTAAAAAGTAAAAATAAAAAAAGGTGAAAGGCTGCTTCAGGCAGAGCAACTTCACATGTTCTTTTCACACCAAACAATGTATGCATAGAGTGAAGGTTCAAGGAATTGATTGATCATTTCTGTAAGATCATCAATCGAGACTGAAATTTTTAATTTAGTCTCAACCCATAATCGATTTTTGGTCCGATGACCTTCACTTGCTAAAGGACTAATCTCCGTGTGGAGAATCATTGGATGACATTTCAAGGGTGTCACGTCATTCTTCGATAGTCAAGGAAAAATGAATAAATCCTTGTACACCTTATCGAGAAATAATTTCTTTTTGTGAAGTTTGACTTTCAAAAAAGCAATTTTCAGAATATTTATTCTTTCGAAAGACGAAACACCGTGCAAGCAAATAAAAATTGACTTCGCTTTTCGTCCGTCGTATTTTGAACTCTGTTTGCATAAAAATTTTAAAAAAATCGATCATAAATAGAAACTTTCGCAAATCAATCGATTCCATCTTTTTTTCCACTCGTGCATCAGGTTAATAAAGGCGACAATGGCGAGATTGTGATTTAAGTTTGCCGTAAATTTAAAATATCATTTTAACGTAGAACTATGATCATATTTTAGTTGCTCCCGCTTGATGGTGATATTTTGACACTTGAACGAGAGTTACAAGAAAAAGAACTTGATATAATTCATTTACATAAAGAAATTCAAGAGTTACAACTTGAAAATAAATTACTAAAAGCAAAAGTACCAACCACTCATTCCAATGGTTATGCAAGTGTATGAAATATCCGATTACAGCGCCAACTTGATTTCCGATTATTTTCTCTTTCTCTTTTTAATTTTAATGTCTAGAATAATAGTGAAGCGGATGCACTTCGTCGTGAAAAAGATGTTTTACAAAATGAATTACATACGTCACAAGAATTAATTGCAAAATTTCAACAACAACAATATCAAAATGTTCTTGTTAATCGTTCGAATAAAGTCGATGAAATTTCTGCACAACAAAAAGAAGCATTACAAAACAAATTAAGTTCGTATTATTCCACTGGTTTGTTTTTCACGTAAGAATTCGTTGGATTTTAAGGAGTTTATGAAAAACAGATGCGCGCATTAACCGATGAAAATGATCGATTAAAACAAAATCTTCAACAGTCGGAAAGAGCGATTGCACAATATAAAAAAGAAAAGGAAGAATTACAACAACAAGTAAAGAATAATCATCTTAATTTATACAATAATTATTAGCTTTTCTCTTTGTTTCTTGCTAGGTAACCGAAGCTAAAAAACGCAATGATGAATTATTTCATCAAGAATTTCATTCGTTTCGAAATGATTTAAAGTATGCATGACAAATATCGAGTTTTGTTTACGATAACATAAAAGAATCATGTTTTAGAATGCTTAAACAACGAAATAATGAATTATTTGAAGAAAATCTTCATTTACAGCAAGAAAAACGAGGCCTTAATTTTCATTCATTCAATCAGGAACAACAACCAAACTCATCTTCGCCACCAATTAAAATATCTAACTTAGAGCCGAAACATTTAAAAAGTAAATAAATTCAGTTAGGAATGTTTCACGGCATATCAATTATGATGACAAATATTTTCCGTCGACCAGAGTTGAGACTAGTAGAATTGCTTGCTATTCACTTCGAAAGGCATTCTTTCGCTTACCGTCTATTAAAGAATAAGAACTTCATAGACTTAGAAAAATTCAGAGGTTTTTCTACATCCATGTACTAATCCAAAGATTTGTATCTGTCACTCGAGCCAGATGTGCTCATTCGATAAATCGTCTTTGATCTTCAATTGTTGAGATGCAGATTATTCTGTAAAATAATTTCTTAATTGCAAAGGCATAGGGCAAACATCTCGCTTGTATCTGCTTTTTAGCTACTCGAAGTGAAAGTCCAAATATGTCTGAAGCAAGCGATTCAACGAATTATTTAGCAACAGTTAGTATTGATCGTTATCATCCTCGCTCGTCAACGTCCGTTCATCGTTCAATAACAATAGATGGAAATAATTATTCTCGTACAAAAAAATACAATTCACTAATTGGACAAGGCGATCTGAGTCGAAATAGTTATTTATCTCCTACGTTTAATTCTGCTGATCAATCGTTTAATTATCGTTCATCTAAAATTCACCATTCCACGGAGTGGAATGATGAGTCTACGCAAAAGAATGAAGGTAAGCATTTTGTTCAAACACATCAGAACTGTGTATGTCAGCAGTTGAAAACATCTGCTGATCAGTTTCTTTTGCTTTTTATGTTTACTAAATCGTTTCGATTTTTTGTGATTATGATAAATTATTTCTATTAGACATCGCAAATGATGATGATGATGATGATGATGATCGCCCAACTATGGATAATGCAAAGCCACCATTATCATCGCCGCATAACTATCGACAAACGCATCCTATTCATCGTAGTGCAGCATTTAAAGAATTTCAACACAACTCACACCGATCAATGTATAATAATACAAATAATCAATACGATAGTATGTCTTTACTTAAACTTTCTTCTATGAAATACGAGTTTAAATGAGGAGTGTGTCAGAAACGACTTGAGATTGATGGTCTTTGATTTCTTAAATGGTAGCGAATAAACCTATCGTAAAATCGATGCTATAAAGTACATTCACATTTGAACCTCCTCAATGGATAACGATAAGAATTCTTCATTCATTTTCTACTAGATCGTCGTCATAGTCGAAAAAGTACAGAAACGATTGTGTAAGAAAAATTAATCACATCTATGAGGTAGATATAATTTTCTTTTTCAATCCAGTTCTAGACGTCCATTTGCTCCATCATGTATCAATGATATTCATGTAAATGATCTAGTAAAATTTACTCGACCAGGCGGTAAAATAAGTAAAGGCGTTGTTAAATATGTTGGATCATTACCGGACAGGAATGATCAATATCTTGGATTAGAATTAGAAGATGAAGGTAATAACATTAGAAAAGCAAAAAACAAGGTATTTTTCAATATAGAGAATTTCTTTTTCTAGAAACTAAACATGATGGAATCTATCAAAATAAACGACTGTTTCAGTGGTAAGATAAACAAATTTCACCGAGAAACTAAATTGATTTTATTCTTATTATTTAGTAAACCAAATAAAGGAATATTTATTGCATTTAATAAAGTAATTATGGCATGGACCGGAGCATAAATTATTTTATATACAGATATGATAATCGTATTTGCATCTTTTTTTGTTTTTATTTCGAGATTTTTTTTTAAAGGGTTTACTGTTAAAGTAGTTAAAACTAATGTGATCTGTTTTCTTTGTGCTTCTCATAATCTCATTTTCAGTAGAATAGTTTATTCGAAATATAAAATGATAATTTCTATTTCGCAAATGAATATAAAATAAATGATTGTTTTAATATTTGGATAAAACAAAAATTCATGACTCGAGTTTGTACTGTATTCGTTCAAACCATGTTCTCTTCGTGAGAATTAGATCCAATATAGACATCATCGGTAACACCGAAAAAGGACTTTACTTGACGAACTCTCTTTAGATTGTGCTAGGACGCAATTGAGAGTTTTAAATTGTTAGCCTTATTATTGTGTACACTACCTAGCCTCACTATAAACAGCTCTTTAATTCAGTAGGAGAAAATCATCAACTGATTGGACTTGGGCGTTTTTATTGTGAAAAAATAAATTACATAAAAATACAGCAAAAAAAGCGAGATCTATTTATTTATTACCAATCACATCGTTGGTAATCTTTTAGAAAGCATCCATACGGAATATCGATATTAGTTTTACCTTCAGCTAATTGATTGTAAGTATGAAATATTGGATCGAGTACACGTGCTGCTGCATCTTCTTCATCGAGTGGCGTTTGAAAATCATGGTAAACCATACTTTTAAATGCTTTTTCCAATGGTTTTTCATCATTAATCCAACCTGTAAGATCAAGAAAAAAAAACAAGATTGATTTTTTTTCCAAATCTTTAATATAATACGAGCACAAGAGAGTCGCCTTCAATGTATTCGATACCGATATATTTTTTTTCTACTTGAAAAGTCAGCTCGAATTCCTATTGAAGATTCACACAAATACAAATAGCATTTTTTAATAGACCCGAAATCAATGAAAACAAATTTGACGCCATAACTGTTGAAGTATTCGAACTGAAACTTTTCATTAGATATAACTCATTGTATCAACAGACAACTAAAAATATGACTCTTACGGCTTTCCTATCATTTAAAACTGACCTGTATCAACTGAAACCATGTAAATGTTGGATGTAAGATAATCACTTGCTGATGTTCGTGTCATCATATTTAACGCTGCTTTAGCTGCATTAGTATGAGGATGTCGATCTGTTTTATTTTTACGCGAAAACGAACCTTCCATAGCTGAAACATTGATGATAAATTTTTTACTTTCCGGCTCTGGATGTTTATCTGCCATAAGAACTTTTAATTTACTGTTCAGAATAAATGGTGCTAATGTATTTATTGTCAAAACGTCGCTGATTTCAGTAGTTGAGATATCAGCAAGACGTAACATCCAGGAATTAGTTTTACGAAAATCAAGCGGTTGTTGATTGACATCAAATAAAATTGTATTGCTTGCTGGAGATATTGTAGAAATCTGATTTGGATCATCGGCTGAAGGCATAGGTAGAGATCGCGGCAAAGACTGATACAAAAGTCGATCGACTGATGGTAATAATTGAGTATAGAATTGTAGATTTCCACCGAGAATGCGTTGATGATCATTGGGTAGATTTGAATAATTTGTTAATCGTTCATTATAAACTAAATGCTGATAAAATTCTTTTGGCCGTTGAATAGTTTGACAAGCATTATTAATTAAAAAATCTAATTTATCATATTTATCTATCAACATTTGTGCAAAATATTCTACTAATTGCGGATAACGAAAATCCACACCATAAACATCTATACGATTTTTCCATTCATTAAAATCTTGCTCTTTGTTTAAACGATTTAGTAAATCCATTGGAAATCGACTTGTAGCAATGACAAAACAATTAGCACGTAATAATTTCAAAGCAATCCGATAGCCAATTTTAACTCGGGTACCAGTCACCAAAGCAACACGATTGGAAAGATTCGCTGTTTGTAAACGTTTTTCATAATTAAATTTGCCACACGATAAACAAAGACGATCATAAAAAAAATGTAATGTACGATAATGAAGTTTACATATGTAGCATTGGTTTGATGTACCAAGTCGTTGAGGAATAGCTGCTGATGAAGACATTTCGCTTTGAATTGCATGAGTCGCTGTTTGTGTTTGTACAGTGCCATCAGGAATGAGAATATGTTCTAATTGTAGTTGTCGAAGCTTTTCTTGTCGACCAGAACGAAGTAAACAGGATTTTTTAACGTTTCTATCGACTTGTTTTTTATGAAGACGTTCATCTTGCAATCGTTTCTTTTTTCTTCGTTTTTCCATAGAAAATAAATTGTGAATCAACGGTCGAAGATCATCAAACTCATTGGATTCGAGCAATGGATATGCTTTTGTCGAATTAAATTCCGCAAGAACTTTAATACACGTATTTATATCATTAGTAGAAATTGATGTAGACAACGCTATAGGCTCGTCAATCGACATTGTGATTTTTGTGCTGATTGATAAAAGCTTTTAATCAATATATTGTGCTGATGCAATATCGAAACTGCAGCTGATGTAAAAGCAAGCAAGCCATAGGTACTTATACTGACGAATGGCATGAATGTAATTTCACAATATGTTATGTATAGTTGTGTGACTCAGAAATTTAGTAGTATGATGCAAAGCAAGTGGAAGTACATTCATTTATAATTATAATAGAATATCAACAATATTTTTCGAGGATTGAAGATCAAACCGAAATTTTGAATAATTTCCTTTCAGTTTCATGAAAGGGGGCATTGTATTGTATCCGAACTAATCGATTTTCAGAATGGCATTAAAATGAGCGAAAGAAAATATGTTCGTCGATAGTTTCATCGTAGAATCTAGGTGAAGCAGTGAGCACGAAGAATGAAAATAAATATACGTCATATCTTATTTTCTTTTTTTATTACATATCAGTTGTAGTTAATTTAGTATAATTTTTGAAGGCATCTAATGCCAGCAGCGTGTCTTTTGCCATCACTAATAAAGACAATCCTCTGCTAGTTTTAAACAAAAAGATGTTGGATTTCCAAAAGAACTGGATACTATATGTATATGATTCGACGTAGAATTACATGGGCTGCAGAATGGTGTGTAAATAGTTTTGACAATCAATTTCTGACCTAGGTATTTGGTCGAAATCCTGCAAAGAGAGCGAAATTGTAAATGAAAAACAGGAATGATTTTTTGAATTTTTAGCTTCAATATCAAGACTGAGAAGAAATTTCATACATACCATTTTGTAGAGCAAGTTAAGCTCTATCGATTGCTATATGACTCAACGTGAACAGTGGAACAACTTAAAGGGAAAAATCTACAGAAACTAAAAGTTCATTTTTTTGCATTTTTTAGGATGTCTCAGGTTAAACTGGTCTTAGCGAACCGTAGGTACATCTGTAGGCCGTAATATTTTGCATACATATATGGTGCACTAACGCCTAAATTCCTATGGAATCAGATCCCAAATCGGTTGTGTTACAGTCATATGTTTATTCCTTGATTCAGCTACATGTGTATACTCATTCCCTGGCACATATTCCATCTATATATACTCCTCTTTCTTCAATGATAAAGTCAGTTCCATCGTTACGGTACTCATTCGTTATTAACATCCAGAAGGAACAAGAATCCCTAACAGGTTGACCCCCCCCCCCCATGTTTTCGGAATTTTGATATATTCATGGAGCGTCTCGTAAATACCATCCGAACTCGAGGGTGTGGGTTCAAGTGATGTCTTCATTGATTGGCTGCAGAATTCAATTTCTCTATTCGAACTATGCTGTCAAGAGTTTTCTCATCGGTACAACTTCAATTAAAAAATAACTGATCCAACAATATTTGAATCTGTAAATCCGTTTCCAATTCGAATGGATTGTCAAATAATGCATATTCATAAATGCTAGTGCCCATACTGAATTACTTTCAAAACAACGAAGTCTTTCTTGACGGTTTTTTAGCGTAAACTAGAAGAATATGAATCTAAAAACAAATAAAAAAGGCATTCAGTATGAAAATAAATCAGCTGAAACTAGTTAAAATAGAACGGAACAGAAAGATTGTGTATCTTAAATAAAATATGATACGATTTCAAATTAATCATTATCATTTCTAAATTTAACAACCAACAAGTAGTGAATCTAAAGTTATTACATTTCTAGCATTCTTCCTGCGTTCTCTTTGTAATCGAATATGTATGTAAAGCACAAAATTCATTTTTATCATTACACAGACAAAAGAGGGTGTGTTTGCTCATCTTCAATCAAATTTACGTTTCCAGGAACATGTCGAAATATTTCATCATAAGTTTACTTTTTATTTCTAGTAATTAAATTGCACACAAAAAACACTTTCAATTAAGACTTGAATCGTTTTTATTTTCTTTAGAATGTGTCGCTCCCATCGATGGATTTATTCGTGTTTGTAATAAAGGTGGTTATTTAGCTAAATGTTATCTTCAATCGCGAGCTGCAGATTCTGCACGTCGAAAGCATCACGATGATACAGGATTGTTTCCGGTTGCTCAATGTAGAACCATGGAGGTTCCTGTAATTGCTGTTTTAAATCGTCTTGAATGTAAATCTCTTGCTTTTATTGCTGTTTATAAAAGTATTTTCGTACAAGAGTTTGCTTCGAGTATGTTTAATTATTGTTATGAAATTACCGGAACTACATTGAATCCAAAATGGTCACAAACAAGATGCTAACTCATAAACGAATACTTTTATTTTTAGATATTCTTTTTTCATGAATTAATTTAAAACAAGAAAAAATAAAAAATATTTCTCTTTCTATAGATAGATAGTTGTATACGACGTGATTAAATTCAATCAGTTTTCTACGACATTTTGTTTTTCTCTCGCGTAGCCAATGCGAAACAATCTAGTTCTTTTCTTCTTTTTTTCTTTCTAATTATTGAAATAAATCAAGTATATGAAAGGGAAATAATAGCATTCATGCTTTTACATTGGTGTATTCACGACTTTTGTGGGGTTCAGTAAAGACGACCATGTCACAAGAAAGAATCAATATAATTAGGATAGATCGCTTTATTGAAAAAAAACTATAACTGTTGAGTAAATAAATACTAGCAGATATTTTTATCATAACAGAGTAGTAGTATAAAAAAATAAAAACAAACGCGTACGAAGATATAGCAATGTGTTACTGTTGAATATAGTAAACAGCTTGTTTAGTAGATGGATCAATAGAATCTATCACGCGTGACAAATATCGACATAACAAATAGCTAAACACAAAGCTTCATATCTCAATTGATCAACGGTGAGTGATGCTAATCATACCTTAAATATAGTTGTTATTATTATTACAAGGTTAGTAGAGAATACAGAATAGTAATAAAAGATGCTTTCAAAGTGCGAATAGGAGCCTTATGTTAGTGGAATCATCTTGCTCATGCCTATTAGCTCCTGGAGTAAGAAAGTTAGGCGCTTTGAACAAATCTTGAGATCTGTATAAGTCAAAAATACGAAAAAAAGTTCATCTAGACAGTTCTTCTTTTTTCCATTGTATTAAAAGATTACATGAGAAAATCTCAGCTACTATTCAATATCTATTTTTACCATTCTTCTATAATTAATTAACCGATAACTGGCGTCATCTATAACAGAAATTCATATTTTTTTCCCAATACGGTCTAGTATCAAGCATAGTGACCGTAATCGAGCTTATGTTTCGTTGTTCGATTAGCCATTTGCTAAAAAGTCAAAGAATATAGTGAATCATTGATTGAAATTCCAAATATGACCGATACAGTGAAAGTATTTTTTGAATTTTATTTCAGATCTCTATTCTTTTTATTGCACCGGTGAATAAAGGCATTAGATCTTCTGCATAATGACAACCAGTGATGGCGTCACTCTTCGTCATCCGGGCATATCCATAGCTGATATTCATCCACGTTTAGATATCGATACAATATCAATTCTTAGTTCTCAATCAGATAGTATTCAACATCTATCTTATCTTGAATCTGACGATGAAGGTAAAGGCTTAGTTAATTCAAATACATCGCGTTTAAATGACACAATAAATCAAACGTATCAACCATCAGCTTTAAAAAAAGATTGGATTGTCTATTTAACAAAACCAACAAATGACAATCATGATAAACATCATCAAAGTTCAAGTGATAATGAATCATCATCGTCAATATCTGATGATGATGAAAGTGAACAAGATTACATTGAAGATCCATGGACAATAAATGCAGTGCAACGTGAATATTATACGAAGCAATTTAAAAATTTACAAACAGATACCAATAAAGTTATAAATGGTAAATAAATTTTGCCTAATTCTATTGAATAAAACGATTGTCATCTACTGTTTTACATAGGTCATATAGCAAAAGAATTTTTCGAACGATCAAATTTACCAACAAGTGAATTATCACAAATCTGGAATTTATCCGATGTTAATCATGATGGCGCATTATCACTGGGAGAATTTTGTACAGCTATGCATCTTGTCGTTTTACGTCTAAATGGTTTTCAATTACCCGATGAACTTCCACAGCAATTACAACCGTTCACACCACTTATTGACCTATCGGATGCGCCATCAACAGAGAATTGGGCAACTTTTCAACCTACAACTGATTCACCAAAACAATTTACTGTTACACAGCCCGTCGTTGATAACCATCGAGTTGTAGCGCCTGTAGCTGTTCGTCTCTCTCCTCCGCCACCACCCGCTGTCCAAACAACTAAACCACCTCCACCTCCACCACGTGCACCTGGTCGAACTGCATCGATTGATTTTTCTCAACAGCCAATTCTTCCACCTCGAATAAATTTTCTTGACACTCCTCAACGAAATAATAGTAATAACAATCCATCAGCCAATACAACACCCTATTTTTTTAATCGAACACAACCAACGATTCCTACAACATCTCAACAACCATCAGATCCGAATATTCTACTTGAACAAATACATGATTTACTTAAACCAGATCATCTACAAGAATTATCATCGATTATATCAACATCATCAATATCGAACGAACAAGTTGATACAACATTGAGTCAATTAAAAGCTCGTAATGCAATACTTAAAGCACATTTAAAACATTGGGAAGATGAACTAACGGATTTAATTGACAAACGAATTTCATTGGAACATCAAATTAAATCTCAATAACAATAACTTCTATTTTATTCGAGTTTTCTCGTCCATTTACTATGTGTATAGATTTAAAAATCTTGTTTGATACAATTACCAATGGGTTTTGTTTTGCTCAATGTAGCTCCATATTATATTCTTTGTTTTCTTTCCTGTCTGCAAGCAAATAACTACCTTTCATTGTATTTCTTACAAGTTTATGCTCATATGTCAACATACGTGCACGTTTATTCTTATATATCACATATAAACTCTTGTCTTTATTCTTGTTTTTTTCTCGTGCTTTATTAATTGAGAATAACATATATGGATTTGAAAATTCAGAAACGTTTCAAGCTAGTTGATTTAGTTTACGAGAATTTTTTGCAAATTTTGTTTGTGTATGACAATGCGAGGACAGCTATCGTCAAATGCATCTTCTCATTAAATTTATTTTCGAATAAAAAACTGAGTACTATGTATTTTCTGTAGGCTATCGTCTCTTTTTAAAAAAAAGAAGTGATTAACGATTCTGTATGTATTACATCGATGATATAATCGTGTGCATTTTTATTTGCTAAAAATTCTAATTAGAAATTCACATTATTGTTGCTTATGTCTCATAGAGTTATTCATTGATTGACTAAATAAAAACAGCTGGTTTCTTTATTTTATTTTAGAAATGTTTTCATCAATTCGTCTTCAATGTTATCGTATTCTTAGTTCACCAGCAGGTATTGATATTCTTGCTTTAATGATTCTAACTCATCGATACTACTCAGAACGGTTTCATTCTGCTAAAAGCTGTACTAGAAAATCGAGCGGTAGAAGGAAAGCACGGTTGTCATGTAAAAAGTGACATTATCGTGTTTCCTTAGACAAACGGCAGTAGCTTTCGAGAACTACATACATTCCTTTCCCGGGTACATATTATAGATATTTTACAAGTCTATTAAGTTCTTTTTGCACACGTGTTGATATGAAACAGATTTTTTGATTTATTAATTCTAGTTCGTTATGCCTCATCAAAAAAGAAGCAAGTTTCTCTTTCATCAGCACCTGTTATTAATCATAATTGGTTTGATATGGCATCGGAAATTTGCCCAACGGATACATCGAATTTATCGTCCGTGCCTGATTCTTCATTTAATAAACGTATTATTCAATATTTATCTGATTCAATAAAAACTCCTCTATCAACTCATGTCAATCAACATTTATTAGATTCTTTTCAAACATGGTCACCAAACGAATTTTATGAGTTAATAACAGTCCTCGGTTCTTATGGTTTACAGCCAGATGATGTTCTACGTCTATTAGTTAATCTTCCATCGTCGGATAAATCGATTGTAACAATTGAAAATCTCAAACAATGTTTCGAAAATCTTTTAAAATTACAATTTGATACAACAACACGTTCGATATTAATTTCCAATGATCCCGATCTAATTCAATATGATTTATCTTACCTACGTGAACGTTTAGATGTTCTACTATGTTATTTCACAAAACGTGAAATCTACAAATTAGTCCGAACGCATAAAAAATTATTTAGCGAAAATTGGACTGATCTTGATTATAAAATAAACTATTTACGAATAATGTTATTTGCCTCGACACGTGACATTGTTGAATCAGGTGCATTGGCACATACAATCGACCATATCCGACAAAGATATTTATTTGTTTATCGTGCTGGTCTTTTTAAACGAGTTCGACGCGAAGAACAATATGTGTCACAACGTGATTTAAATATTCATTTAATTGATGTATTCAGTACGAGTTTAACAACATTTTTAAAACGTACAACGAACAATCTTCTGAGACAAGATGATTATCAAGCATTTATTGATTCACTTAAATATGAAACATTTGACAATGAATTCGAACGATATTTAACATTGGATAAAAATCGAAAGAATTGGTCAAGAGCAGACGTAGTTATTGAAAAGAGAGAAAGACGTCGGTGGATGAGTGAATTTGATATGTATAACAATATTGATGATGAAGACGATGGTGATGATGATGATGACGATGAAACAAGTTTAACGATAATAAATGAGAAATCTTTAGCTCCAAAAAATGACGAAGAAAAACCTAGCTCATGGCATACATTAAGTGATTTTGGCCGGGATCGGCATCGAAATAGAAAAATTGCGCAGAATTCTGATCCTAATATTCGACTGTAAAATTTGCTGTTTCTTAGGTTTTCTTTTGTTTTATTGTTTTCAGATAAAAGAAAATTATTATGGCAGCACAAGTAGCAAATTTACCAAGTTTAATAATCGGTCGAGTATTAACTAAGAGTAATACAACAACAGCTATTGTCAGAGTATTACAAATGCAACTTGACGATAAATTCGATATGTTTTTTAATCAGCGTATGTTACGAAATCAATCATGAGAATAATATCAGCTGTTATCGAAAATTCTTTTTTTTCTGCGTTTTAGGCATTGATTATAAAGCATTTGATAAACGTGAAAAAACAAAAGTCGGCGATATAGTTCTATTGAAAAAGCGGCCAACCCTCGACTGTCGCTATCCATTAGAACGTTATGAAATAAGTGAAATCGTTTATGAACTCGGCCGTATCAAAGATCCTTTAACTGGACGACCATGTAATGGTTTAAGATATCTCGACGAATCTTTTGTTGCCAAGGAACGTGAAGATCAATTAAAACGATCAGTTCCAACTACATTGAATGCGCTACCAAATAAATAGATTCTGTTGTTGTTGTTTTTTTGTATTTCTTTTTCATTATTGCCAGACAACAAGGAAAATAAGAAAACTTTAGAATATTGGTTTCGTTCTTTTTTTTTCTAGATAAAAATAATGCTGTGGGTTATTCTTTTATTTTTAACTGTCGCTAAAACAGAAGATTCACTAGAGAAATTCAAAGAATGTAATAATCAAAAATGTATTTTAGTGCGATGTTATTTTCCTGTTTGTAAGTTGAAAATAACTTTCGAATTTCGATTCGATCAGTTTTGTTTTGAATTGTAGCGGAATTCTTAAATGCAACACGAAATGAAATGAAATTATTCGATGATTTTATCGGGCAACACCATATTTTCATGGACTATGTAAAGTTTAATAATGAGAATGAAAAATGTTTTTAACTTTCTAAAGAATGAATTCTTTAGCATCTATGCAATGATCTATCGGCGGACAATATGGACGAAGTAGGCGCATGTATTTATGGTGTATTGTTTAAGCTATACCAGTAAGTCGATTTTCTTGCGTCGATTGTCTTTCAATGGTTCGGTTGTTTTCTTTGCAAAATAGATTTGATGCAAATTTAACAATCCATCAACGTACGCATGTTCAACAAGCATTAATACAAGAAGAATCAATTGCAATAGTTATGGATATGGTGTAAGCGATATTTTTGTAGTGATTTTCTTTAAGAAATGAATTTTTATTAGATCGAATATTCTCTATCGCATTCCAATGATTAGTCAGGCGAATGAATTAGAAAATATTATTCGAAATTCAGATGGTGAAGATCTTGTTGTTATTGATGCTCAATCGCTTATAGCTCAAGGTATTAGAATATTTCATCGTAGATTATTTTCTAAAATGAGTTCACTAAAAATAGAATTCGTTTTTGTTTTAGTTCACCTTGAAATTAGTCGAACTATTTTGAATTATGGACCGTGGTTTACTTTTGTTTATTCTACTATTGGGTAAGTCGAAAAGCTTGTTATTGGTGTTAGTAATGTTTGTTTCCTGATAGGAGCGATGAAAAGATAGCTGAGTGTTTATACCGTATCTATACATTGGGTCGTGGTGTTAGTGGACCGAACTGTGCTATACAAAACAATATTCAAATGACATTAGAACAGCAAATAAATGCTCAAATATCTTCACCGGATAGTATTAAATCGTTTTCTGATCTTACTCATATAAATGTATTTAAACGACTTTCATCAATACTATTTTATATTCACACAAATTCAACGCTCAATTTAATATCATACAAAAATATGGTTGTCATTCCGGTGAATATGTAAGTAGAAATGAAGTTTTTAAAAAGAGAGTTCTCTTCATTAGCCATGATCAGCGTTTACTACATTGAAAATAAACTCGAAACTTATTATCTACTATTTAACAATTTATTATAGGTTGAGTTTCAATGCAAGCGACCGAGAAAATTATGCATTTTTAAATGAACCATATCCATTCTATTTATTTTGGTCAGCAAAAGAAGTAAGATAATTAATTCATGAGATGAATAAACAGGTTCCATACTTGTAGAATGTATTTCAACGCCTTGGAGATCAACCGTCTAATGAACTTCTTGATACTCTGATTCGAGAAGAACAAGGAGAAGACTTCCGAAGTATTTATCCATTGTTTTCTTTTAAAAATATCTATTTTAAAAAGTAGACGACTATGGAATGTTCGACGATGAAGTACGACGTTTAGCTGATGCGATTGGAAATATCAAAATAGATCCAAGTGTTTTCTTTCTTAAAGATCATGACGATTATCATCGTTTTCAAGGAAATCATTCAAACACTGCGGTGCTTTTCACTGTTAGATGGGATTCAACATCGAAACTAGCTCGAAAAACATTTCATGAAATAGCACCTCAACTGAACCAGTTTATATCTATGATGGATATTGATTGTTTTGATTGGACTGATCTATGTGACGAAGAAAATATTTTTGAATGGCCAACATTACTTCTAATTGAAAATAAAATAGTAAAAAAGATCTATGAAGGTAGTACGGATAAAAATGAAATGACGTTAGCTTTATTTCGGTAAGTGAATCAAAAAACAAAACAAAAACGTTTTCTTATAAATTTAAAATAAATATTTAGATTTTCAGTTAAACAACCGTATCTTATTGAAGATGATTCCAATGAAATCTTAATCGAAAAAATCCTTGCACGTCAACAAGTGATTGTTACAGCTCGAATTCAACATGAAGAGAAAATTTGTGAGTAAAATTAGTTCGGCAGTTTTTTTCTCAATTGATAATAATTTCTTGCAGTATACGATACTTATAAAAGTCTAGTCGATATGTTTTCCGATAATGAACATATCTTTTTCATATTTCAATATTCGACGGAAAGGTAGACAATTGATGGTGAAAGAAATAGGTCGAGGAACTCTTAAATGATTTTTCTTGTGTGATTGTTAATGATTACCATTAAAATATTTATTGAATTTTAGTTCTTCGTTAATTATAAAACAAAAGTATGGCGATGTTTTATTGCAACCGAAAACAATGGCTCATACGTTCAGTTGCGATTTTAATGATCTTCAAAAATTAATTATGAATGCACTTCAAGTCCCATTGATTCCATTCGATCCTTTAGATATAATAAAATCAACTGCAGCCACATTTATAGCAGCCAGTTATTCACAATTGATTGATAATTCACTCTCGAAAGATCTATCAACAGAAATTCCTCTTATTTGGATTGACACGTAACAAGTTTTTTTCAAAATGTTTTTTTTATATCAATCAAGAATTTCATTTAGAAATTCACCATGGGTTCTAACAATAGATCAATATGGTCCTATTCCTTATCCGGCAGTAATATATATTAATTTTTCTAATGCAAGTATACTACAGACTTTTTCTGAAGATTTTTAATTTCGCCTATTTCAAATAAGTTCAGTCACGTTAGAGAATCCGTTGATAATTTTTCTGTGCATAGGGAAAGGTTTATGTGAGCTCTGATTTTAATGATATTGACGCATGGCTTAAAACAGCTCAAATGGGTACCATAGCACCATTCTGTAAAAGAAATTTCTCAATAAAGCTTTTTTCTTAATCAAATATTTCTTAGATGAATTGTCTTCGACTGACATAGACGAAGGTCCAACACAAGAAGCAATTGACTTTAAAAAGCAAATGTACAACGAACGATTCCTAGAAGACGTTCGTTTGTTTCATGAAGAATCTGAAAAAATCAATGAACACGGATTAGGTATATTTTACATAGACTATTTTTTCTGTTCAAGAACCATTAATGAGTTCCTCTTATTTTCAGGATTTGATATGAACGGTCTTCCTATTGAAATGAATAATTAACGGTTTCGTTTATATTCTAGATAGTTTAAGTTTTTGTTTTCGGTGAAATACAAACGAGAAAATCTATATGCGAATTCAAAATAATGTCATCGTTTTCTGCTAGACTATTAAAAGCACAACGAAAACATAAAGTAAATAATGACATAACAGATATCATCGAAGAAACTAGACGATGTCTAAATCTCGGCAATAGTCGATTATCTTCATCGAAATTTAATTCCGTCTCTGAAACTGAAAGTAATAATATACCGAATATTATACCATGGTGGGAAGATAATCAAGAAGAAATATACGAAAATAAAATCGATCCCGATGCGATGTTAGCAACGGCAGATGACACTTTAAAGAAAATTGTCGATGGTGCACTTGATTTAATGCTAACTAATTCAAAATCAAAAATACAAAAACAAATCAAGACATTTGCCGATCGAAAAAGGCTGAAACGAAGCCGAAGAAGTACTCGATCAAACGTACGACTTCGTTTTTTAAAAATATTCTTTAAAATGAATGTTTTCTTTTATTTTAGGATATTCATAGTGATATCTATTCAGAGCGAATTGTTGAATCATTAAAAAATAGTAAGTAGTTTCCACGTTTTAGATGCGTTTTTTATTTTAAATATCAATCATAGATAATTTTGTCACACCAATTAATTCGACCAATGTCGGTCATCAATTATTAGAAAAAATCGGTTGGACTCCTGGTAATGGTCTTGGCCTAAATCAGAATGGAATAAAAACTCCTATTGAAATCAATATTCGTAATCGTCGGCAAGGTCTAGGATACGAAAAATCGATCGATCAATAGCGAAAAATATTATTTTTTAATCATTCTTGTCAGATTCATTTGTGATTTGTTGGCGTTTTTTTTTTTTATTATTTTTATAATAAAATATAACATTTACATGTTAAATTTAGAATTTATCAAAAGAAAAGCAAAATTTATGAATACGCATTGTTTGAGTTCACATACATAGGTTTTCTTATGCAATCACATTTACTAGAAACAACAGATATCACCGAAAGTCTCACTTATGTTCGCAAAAGACATTCACACCCTCAAGATTTCGAGATTAGCAATTCAACAGGTGCACGTATACGAATCTAACATCTATAGCTTCTCACAATCATGGAAACTACATCCATAATCCTATGAAGGTCAGAAGTTATCAATGTTTGAGTTGTATCCGTAGGTATCTATGAATTTTCTTGAATTGCTAATTTCTCTGTCCTTGATAGATCTTAGAAAACAATAAATTATGAGCAAATAAAAAGATTTACGACTGATATAGTACAAACGAAAAAACAAAAATAAATATTTCTATCGATAGGAACTTATCATTGTTTAGAAACGATTTTCTTGTACAATAGCAGATGGATCACTGTATTTGTTATCATATTCATGAATATTATAAACTGTTGTATCATCAATGGGTCGACCAATTTGAGTTGCATAATTTTGAGATACCGGACTGTGATATGGATTTGGCGATTCTGGTTTACTTCCAGATAAGCGTTCGGTGGGTATGACATACGACGTAATAACAGGATGGGATTTTTTACCTTCTAACATGTCGTCCGGTGAGTGAAAATCGTCGATATCATTTTTATAGGCGCTTGGACTCTTGTAAGACTGGCCAGGAGCAAATTTAGTGCGACTTGCTCGACTAATACGAGTCATTGTGCGATAAATTGAACTGCGGATTGAACTCCATTTGGTTGTATTCCAAATTTCAGAAACACCAATTTTTGTCCAATAAAAATGAATAAGAAAAGCACCTATACCGACTAAAACTAAAATAGATTTCAAATCAAAATGCACAGTTTTCTTTCGTCGAACATTCAAATAAGTAAAACAAACTTAGTACAACTACCAAGACGATAATAACAATAATATCTGTGGTTAAATAACTTTCAGTCATTGAAAGAAACGATCGGGCAACTAAAAAATATATATTTCTTTTTATTAATATGATTAGAAAACATTTGAAAAATTAAATACTACTCTATAAATATCAGATTAAGGTGCACGCTGACGTATTGAATAACTTTAATTGTTGCCGTGCGAATATGTTGAGCATCAGCGAACGGCCAACAAACTGAAAAAATAAAAAGATTTCAACTGATGATCGATTATACAGATTATTCAACAAATATTGACATAACTGTTTTTGCACAAATCTAGTACTATCAAAGACTCCAATTATCGCTATTCTATTGGACTTCTATCTTTGCTTTATTACTTTTTCATTTAAAATTATTTCTCTAATAGAAAAACAATTCATCAGCTAGAATGTGTTTAGTGTTTTACAATCCCATTAGAATATGCTTTGTTTTTCTCCCTCCTGAGACGTAATTTTAATTATGAGTTAAAAATACAATAGAAAAAGAAAAGAATTGTTTTAGTATAATTAAAAATTAGAAAAAATAAAACTACCCACCAGTCAGTTGACTAATCCTATCGAAAATGATATTCGTATTGAATCATTTTCAGACTCTCTAAATTTCGATAATGCGGAGAACATAAAAATGTCCAATGTGATATATTGATATGCATTTTGACGAATGGCGCTTACTAATAGTAGTAAAAATGGTATTGTCATCAGAATAACAACAAGGAACGTTAAGTTCCAAAAGGCTCAAGGCTATGAAAACAACAGAGAGAAAAGACTGGTTAAGTCTGCAGGTGACGCATCAAACAATTGGCATCCACTTCATATCGAACAAGGCTACGAAAATATATTGATCATAGAAACTGCTCAAAACAAAAATCATATATTCGTTTGTGATTCGTAGAAAATAATGATTAATCTTTTCTTACCTTTAGCTTTTCTGTAAATTACAAAATGGTTGAATCTGCGCGCAGTATAATCATCTTTGTTGTCATTGTGATATTAGCGTTGCCTGTTTTTATCGTTTCCTATGCTCTCTAGACGTGCTGTTGTCGTCTGACGTGTCCGTTGATGTCGTAGCTGTTCTTCTTTTGAAATACTAGCTGCGAAGAAAAAAAAAAGAGAAAAATTATGTTAAAGACGGAAACCAATTGTCGAGCTATTTTTTAGAAAAAATATCAACAAAAAAAGAAAGTGAATAACGATAGTTTGCGTATTGTTTTTGCAAAAAGAATGAGACAAAAATAATGAATATATGCGTTGAAAACTTTAACCGATAGGTCTCCTTTTGACAAAAACACGATTACTGATTATTGATCTTATATATTTTTTTTCGGTTCTGTTCTTGAATATGGCATATTTAAGGACTCAAGGTCACCACATTATAGGTTGTTTTTGTGGTCTTGTTTTTTATTTACCTCCGAACAGTTAACTGTTTTCAGTTCAAGATGTAATTCGATAAAGCGTAAATCATAAAAAAAAGATTCTTCGGGTTTCTATTTTGTTTTTATGTTGCATCAGCAATGAATCATGAGTCAATATGTATGGAGTTTTTTCTAGGAAGGCAGATAAATATGCGTGCTCTTTATCTTGAATTAACTAAAGAATATAGTCATAAAAGACATAACACGATCGCTGCCTTTCTTTTTGAGAAGATGCCAACAATATGAAATTTGAGTAAAATATTTTTTGTCATGGTTGAATGGAGTTCGTCGCGTAACTACCAGAGAAAATGTTGTTTTTGATATATTCAGGTGATGCTTTCATCATGAAACTTAGCAATATCAGGGCTCAGAAACTATCATTCTGTCATTGTAAATTAGCTTCTTCACGAATCGAATGGCATCCATAATCCGTTTGTAATCAATTAATTCGTATCAAAATTTATATGACCGAGCTTTTAAGGTATATTTCGAACTTTTTTAATGTTATTCTAGATTATTATGCAGCAATAATATTTTTCAGGGCTTTGATCGAATTCTGTCGAATGCAAATTTTGAATTGCCAACTTGTTACTAACATATAAGCTTGAAGAGTGATAGTATTCAATCAAGTTACTGATAAGAACACACTTCTTTTATGGTGTAAATATAAATTGAATAGAGAGAGAAAAATGTAACATATGGCTCACTGAAAGTCAAATGGGTAGGTTGACAGTATGTATTTAGATTTGGATAACGACTCGATATTAGAAAACCTTGGTTTTATTTTTCAATAGATATTAAATGGTTAAGATCACTTGCTTTTTGTTCCACAAAACAAAATACAAGAGCCTATCTTTTACCGAATAAAAAAGAACGTCTCTCCAACAAATAATATTTTTGAGTGTACTTTTTTTCCTAAAGGCGGAAATCATTTTATTTACTTGTTTACTGATAAAATATTCATTTTGTCATGCTCAAAAAGAAAAGAACAAAAGAATTCAGCCATAAAATAGTTCTTTCGCCAAAAAAGAATGATTTCTAAAAGATTCACTGTAGTCTATTTATTTCAGAAACGATTTTTAGATGCAGAGTACACTGCGTATATCTGTTATGTGATGTAATGGACATAAAAACAATCTAAGAAAATAATGTTCTTAATTCCATATGACTATAAACTCGAATATCTCGACTGTCAACAATTCGAAATATTCGCAATATATAATTTTGTTTCTGGTCAGTCAGGGAAAGAGAGAATTCTTATTTCAAAAATAGAAATTCCGAGTAGTTAACTGATCGTTGCAATTGATTTTTAATGTTTTTCTGTTTTTTGTTGCTAATGCGTTTGGATGTTTTTCTTAGCACCAACAAAAAAGAAAAAAAGAATTCGAGTCGATTTTCTTCCAGTTGCAAAAACAATTTTTTTTTCTATGCGTGTAACCAAACGCAAACGAGAAGAATAAAAAAAGAAGAAAGAAACTTTGCAACACATCTCAATCAGACATACGTAAAAGTCAGTGACATGCCAGAATTTGAGTCTGACGCTCTTTTACTCCATGCAATAAATTCACAAGCACAAACGAAAATTCAACGAGCTGAAATTTTCTTACAACTCTTATCTAATGGCCATATTCATGTTGATTGGAGTGATCTACCGAAACATAGAAATAGTCGACAATGCGTTATACATTATAAAAGTTTAAATACTAACCGAGTAAAATGTTCCTTGTTTTGTTTGCATTCTCATTTTAAATGAATTTTTCTCTTGATTAGAGTCATTCTCTATGTGTATCACGGAAAATGAAAGATGCTGTTATAGAAAAAGTTCAAGCCGGTCATTTATATGATATACATGTATGTACTGTTGATGAGTTAAATCGAGTTTTGTATTCGACGGAACATGCACAAATACAAACTGTCGCATCGAATGAAGCACCCATGCTTCGTGTGGCGTATGTTATGAATCAATTTCCTTCCAAAATAATTTTCTCCTTTAGGAAATCAACGCCGGATTTTATTGTACTTGAATGGGAACAATCGAAATTAGTTAAATTACTTGATATCGAGATGTATAAATTAAGAATAAATGGAGCTGCAAAAGTTCTTCTACCACCAACAGAAAATAAATTTATTATTAATGATGGTCAATTTGGAAAACGATATATTTTTGAATTAGAAGTAAGATTTGTTTTTTGTTCTATAGGAAAAGATCGAACAAAAATAATTACCGATGTTGTTTCGTCTATAAGATGTATCGAAAAGACGGCAAGACAATATCTTCCATTCCAGTCATGATCAAGTGGCCCGGAGTAACATTACCTAAACGTGAGGCTTTTATAAATGGCAGTAAAGAATTAATTATTAGTTGGAAAAATCCAACATCAATCCACGATGGAAATGTCGAATCTTATACGGTTTGTTTTATTTTATCGTAAACATACGCGGATGATCTTGTTTTTTCTTCCTGAAAATAGGTTTATATATATGATTCTGAAAAGAAATTATTAAGTGAAATTGGACCGAATCCTCCCGAATGTCGTCAAGTATGGATAGAAGATCTGCCAAAAGGTGTTTATTTTCATGTGTTGGAAATGAAACTTGCCGATTCAAAAAAATCTATTTTATCTAAACCAATGAGAATTGAGTGCGGAAATGAATCTACTAGACCCATATTAACATGTAGTTATACTGATGCAAATCAAGAAAAGCAATTGATTGATATGGCTTATCTTGTAGCTAATCTTCGAGATAAGTAAGAATCATAATTATGTAAAAATGATTTTTAAACACTTTCTATTTTCATCTCTTTGGTCTTAGTGCGGAAACAAAACGTCTATCTGAAAGATGCGAAAATCAACTCATGAAAATACTTTCAACTTTAACTTATTTAACAGGTTTTTCTTTCGAAATTGATCTGTTCATTACTCGTGTATTTTGTTTTTTTCTAAAGATTCCATTCATGTCAACTTGAATATTGAATTAAAATCAAATGATAATATTCCTAAGAGTTATCATTTGATTGTTGATGGCAAAGAAAGTTCAGCGTCTATTCCTGGAACGATTAGAAATTTGCCATTTGAAGTAAGATTGAAAATTGACTGTTCGATTGTTCTAGTATTTGATATTCTTAGTTACCTCGACGAGATAAACCTTACGAATTAGCTGTTTTACTTACACCGGCTCTCTATGGAACAAAATCAAAGACAATTTTAGTTGAAGCCTCTCATCATTTTTCATTCTTTTGTGCTCATTTTAGCCAACAACGATCTACGCGAAGGTAAGATCATAGAGATAAGTTATGATTTGATTTCTAATCAAATCTACATATGTAACAAATTATATACTTGAGAGAAAAAGGTTTTGTTGAGGTTTCACATAATACTGTACCATTGTTAGGGATTCTTTAAGATGCGATGAAAATTGTTTTTTGTTAAAATATAAGTTCGAAAATAATGAGTATTGTTCCATTATACTTTTAACTATAAATACAAAAGATAATTTGTAAATATGAAAATTTGATTATGTATCTCGTATAAATTGAAAATTTTGTTGTAGACAAGGTCATTTCTTTCTTATTAGAATCTATTCTATTCAAAGTAGTATTTTATATGTTCTCTTATTAAACTCTACGAAATACAATATTATTATTGACGATTTTTTTATAAAATGAAATATTTACTCAAATGTAATTTAAGCTACGCAAATATTTTAAATTATACTTTTTTACCGGTACGATACTTAGGATGTTGCGATCCAGTAGAACCCGTTGCTCTTAGATTCGAACTGAACTTCTAATTTTAAAGCATTTTGTTCAATTACATAGTTGTTCATACCTGGAAACATTACCATATGAAAAACAACAGCCACGACCTGTTCATCAAGGCGTTATGAAACCGTCGAAAATGATGACTGAAATTCAAGTTTATGATTTCAATAAAAATGAAATTCTTTCTCTTCCGTCACTAGGTCAATCTAATCGATTCAGTATAATTTTATTTTATGTTGCTCAGTGTATTCCATCGAGAGTTCATCTTAACTATTTGTCAAAGTATGCGTCAACCTATTCTTCACAAGTAATTATTTATTTTATTGTGAAAAATTTAGATGATTTCTTTCACGATGATTCTTTTCTAGTATAATTTTATATCAATTAATTGTAATCAAAATGATATTGATGGGTTGAAAGAGCTCACTGAAAATTTCACAAATGTTCAATGTTATACTGACTTCTCATCCGAAGATTTCGAATGTAAGAAACAAAAAAATAAATAAAGCATCATTTCTTACAATTGCTTTCTGTGGTTTTTTCATAGACGAACGGAAAAACAACGAAACACCGGTGCATGAAATCCTTTCGATTGCCGGAGTACCTTTATATTTCATCTTAAATTTTTCGGGTAATTTCGGATCATTAAACTATCCAACTGTGTTATATCAACTTCTTCTTTAGGTCACGTTGTCTGGAGAGGACGTTTATGTACGCCAGATCAGGAGAAGTATGATGCTGCAATGGATCATATCATAGCTGAAGTTAGCCAAATGCCATGTTCGCCGGAAACTTGTGATCTTTGTTCAATCGATGATAGTCATATAGAGACACAATTGACAAGTAACGCTACATTTCATATCAATTTTCTTTTCATCAAACTTTGTATGTATAGATGTGGATAAAAATCTTCAATTCATTCTACTACAACGAATGAAACCGTATGAAAATAAAAACCGAGAAGTCGAGCCACTAAATCGAATACGACGAACTGTCTCAATGAACCAACAATCAATTAGAATCAATGATAACTAAAAATATGCCGCTTATTTTCTTTTGAAATCAAAACTATTCTGAATAAATCGTCGACTAGCGCCTATAACTGTCGTTCAATGAATATTATACGAAATTTATTTAACTAAAAGTAAACAACAAATATTTATGAACACTATGCCGACGATTGTTTCGTGTTAGTATTTTGTTTTATGTGTTGTTCGTGCGCGACTTCGGCGATTTTTGAACCAAACCTATGCATAAATTAAGTTTTCTTCGGTGATAATTTTTAGGTCAACATACTTGAATTCGAGCTTCGGGTACATCGAGTCGTTGAGAAAGTTGTTCACGAAGTTGAATATCAGGATATTGTTTTTTTTCAAAGATTTGATCAAGTACGACGACTTGATCTTTTGAAAATACGGTGCGTTGACGACGGCGGCGTCCTACTGGAGGAGCTAAAATTCAAAAATTGTAAAACTTACTAATTCTACGATAGTCCCAACATACCTAATTCAAAAGTTGAATTAAGCGGCCTAGTGGAATGAACAGTTTGTACTGGAGATGTTGAGTTATTGTAGTGAACAATTTGTGGTGACGATTGATCAACATAAGATGGGTAATAATGGGATGGAGTCGACTGGGGTGGATATGTGCAACAAGGATCAACATAAGAATCATGAAGAGGACATGATGGTTGATAATAATATGACGGTGATGTATAGTAAGATTCCATCTTCCCTAGAATACAGCGAACAAATGAACCCGAAAATTTGGTAAATACTTAGCCGATGTTGGATATTGAACGATGCAATGAAATGTAATATAAACTGAATGTTACTTATAATAATATTGAGAGGATAAGAGAGAAGGAGAAAAAACAATTCTTTTAATTTTCTTCGCCAATCAAAATTACGCGATCAATAATAATCGATAGAATAACATCAAAAGAGAAAGGCTAATTAATACACGTAAGCTCATCTGTCGTATGACAAACATCAAACAATCGAAAAGAACAACATAACATTTGGCAGTGTACAGATACTATTTCTCAGTGATTATAATCAAAAGATTGGAAAAAACCTAACTTCACTTTAACTCTGTTTTTTTCGAACTAGCATCACCATTGCTTTCTGTTAGCTACGGGAAAAATAAGTAATGAAATTTATCAATTGAATGTCGGGAGCTGGTGCTTGTCTATTACGATATGGTTGATTTTAGTCAGGTGATGCCGACACAACAAGTTAGATGTGTCACTTTTATGATTATTGTGAGGATACGAAATGTGACTTGAAAATATAAACCGGAGAATTTTCTTGAATCTGCGTTTAACATTTGTCTGTGTCGGTACCAAAACATCCTCAATAAATCAAAAGTCAATTGAATATTCATTTGTTTTTATAGATTATTCTATGTCCTTCTGATATATTCTCCATGAAAGCTAGATCAACATTTTCACCAATAGCAATATAATCATGCATAATCATTTATTATAACAAAAAAGATTTTACTATAGAAAAAAATCCGATGAGATACAATAAATTATTAGTCCATAAGCATGTCTGGATTTATTTTGTAGAGTTCATAATCACTTGCTTTAAAAAATGCAATTTCAGTACCATCAACAACTTTGTAATCGCATAAGCGTTTATCATCTTGAATTAATAATTGCTCATCGCCATCTCGACGAATCACTAAATCATTACTCTAAGGAAGAAAAAAATACAATATTTAAGATTTAATACAAGTAATTACTTTTGCTTGATGTGGAAAATGTTCAATCTTCAATGTATCTAAACACCGATAAAATATGATACGTAAAAAAAATACAATTTTATTTTAGTTTCTATTACCAAATGCAAATGTTTTAAATGGTGGTGGAAGTTTTTCGTTGGGCAACACTGAAAGTTAAACAAGAAAATCAAAAGCAAACAATTTCAAGAGGGAAAATTCCGAAAAATTTCACCTGAGGACTAAGATTACGAACTTGTTAGAATGTGCTCTTTGAGTTCTTTGCCAGTCATTTGTCCCGATGAATCAATAGAACGTAATATTAAATAACGCATATTTCGATGTTCAAACGAACGAATCAATCGAATTGATAATATCATAGTGTTGTTATTGCTAACAACTTCGTCACTGTTACTTGCCATATTTTAATCGATCAAAAGTTAGAAAAAAATTGAATGGACGGACTTTCGAAAACGCAGTCAGCAATTGAGTAAGTAAGCTGAGAGCTGTAATTTTATATGGTTCGTATGTTGGACGAATGGTTTTCTCTGAACTGATATTGCTGCAAAATTCTTGTGAATAGATGTCGTAATTGAATGACATTAACATGCGGATAATACGAAAAGAAAGCATACCACATACAGAAAATAGGCAAGAGATTTTTATGAAACATGCAGGATTTGGAGTTTTTGATTCTAAGAATATTCGTAAAAAAATTTCCGAAAAGACTAATTTTATCGCGATGAATTCGGAGCACTATAAGCAGTAAAAAACTAATAAGTAGCTTAAATAAAACAGATTTTTTCAAAAATTTCCACAAATACTTTTTGGTAAAATTTTACAGTAATGAGGTTGTGCGAATATGTATACTAATCTTTAGTCGTTATTGACACCCACATACTGGTCGTGAGTTCCACATTTTGGTCCCACAAGCGGCTGCAATGAAAGCTTTTCGAATAGATTCGAGCTCATCATCGAGTACCATTCTAAATTCTAAGCAATTTTTATCTCAAATTTGACAAATTCTTTGCTCCAATTTGCTTGTTATACTGCTTGAAACTTGTTGAAAGAAAAATACTGCAATGAATTGTGCTTTGCAGAAGAAAACTTGCTGCGGCACGTACGTAATTGAAATGAACCTCTTGTACTAAATGACGATAGAACCGAGCCATGTCATGCTCGGTGAGCAGTCATTGACTATGAATACTGTGGTAGGCGCATATTTTACACTTTTATTACGATTTATGTGTGTTTCATTTCTCAATGCTACGCAATGGTAGAAATAATACGTTTTCTGTTATATTTATACGTGTGCAACGACTTGCGCAATCCCAGGTGAATGAATCCGATCGAATCGGGTTGGAACCAGCTATTGGATTGTTCTTCCTGGGATGTGTGTAACATAAACTTAAATTACAATATCTCATATGATTTAATTTTTTCCTAGCTGTACAAAAATGTTTTTTTTGTGCACATTTTCGTGTTGTTTATCAGGGATTCATCATACAATGCAATTTCAGATGTTTGCATGCATTCATTGATCGATTTTATGTTTGTATCCAGTCATATACAATGAAACTAATCTTGCGCAGTGGCAATACCTTGCACAGTGAGCTTTACTGATAGGAAAGTTAACTACCAGCTGGAAACTAGGTTTCAACACTGCGGTAATTCTCATTCATCTCAAATTTCGCTACTTTTCTGGACTCATTCTATCAAATTAATAGGAAGATAGGTAATCACTAGATACGAATATGATAGACTCAAATATCACCCCTAAAGTATGAAAAAAAAACTGCGTTTGCTCGATGCAGACAGTATAGCCACTACTGAAGTAGATATTAGCATAGGAATTTTAGATTATTTTCACATTGCGACATATTCTAAGACAACATGTAAGATTAGTTAGAAAAAATAGATCAGAAACGGAAGTAAAGGTTTTCGCATTACAAATGTCAAACAATTTCAAAATAAATTCAATAACTTTCGGTAACGTAAAAAATGGTCCACAGTGTCGGTTCGGTTGTGGATACGGAATGCAAGCGATCATACAAATATCTCTATACACTGAGTCACAGATCTGCACTCACAACCACTCAAACACCACGCTCACTGACAAACTCTTGGAACACATTCTTTTTTAGGCCATTTCTCAACTTGTCTACGTCATTCTACCCTACAATATAAATCGAAGGGAAGATAAAATCGAGGTGATTAATGGACTTTCATTTTTCTGTCCAATTATTCTGATATATCCCTATGCACACAATGCAAGCCGCACATATGAAGATAACTGTGAATTGTAATTTAAGCGTAGATTTATATACTTTATCGAAGTGTGCATATTGAGACCATTGTGAAAAAAATGTTTTTATCAACCGGTTTGACTATCATCATTGCTCTCCTTAATTTAGCCTCGTCACAAACGTGTAAACTCAACAAGTATGACCAGTGCTCGTCAAATATTCATTGCGCTTGGCTTCAACTCGGAGGAGATGCTGAAGGAGGTGTTTGCGCATATATCGGAGAGAGTTGCTTTTCCAATTTAATACCATGTGAAAATGATAATGTCACTTGTGTCCAATCGAACGCGATATGTGTCAAACATCCAAGATGTCATACAAGATCCGTTTGTTACTCCATGAAATTAGCTGATCCAATCATTTGTCCTCCTCTCACTACGACTCCGAGTAAGCTAAATGCTCATTTCTTCTTGGAATGGGCACTATGAGCCTATACTCTCTTCTAGCTACTTCTCCGCCACCAAACGCTACTGATGGCCTTTGTACTACAGCAACTTGGCAATCAGAAGGACAGACAGTGGCGGGAGGCAATGGTCACGGCGTAGCTCTTAACCAGCTTGCTCACCCCACTGGCATATTCATTGATCCCAATGACAATGATGCTCTCTTGATAGCCGATAGCAGCAATAATCGTATCATGAAGTGGGATCGAAATGCATCAAATGGACAAATAATACTAGGCGATATGAAGGCAGGAAATGGTAGCGATCAACTATGGTACCCTCAGTATTTGACAATGGACGACCAAAGCACTGTGTTTGTGATTGATAGTAATAACCATCGTGTGCAACGATTGGCAAAGGGTGCAAAAAACGCTGAAACTATTATCTCGAATATTAATGCAAGGGGTATAGCCCTCGACGAAGAAGATCAGCAGAGCTTATATCTAACTGTAATGAATAATCAGGGAGAACAGGTTGTCAAATACACGAAGAACGGAGAATTTCAACAAGTCATCGCAGGTGTGCGCAGTGGACCTGCTCTCACTCAATTTCGCGGTTGTAAGTTGAATTTCTCATCGTGTTCATTGCTTGATATTAGTACGATAAACTTGCTAGCTCAACCAGACACAATAGTACAAGAAAAATGAGAAACTAACAATTTTCAGATATATTGTCCCAAGATATCAGATGATCCTCTATTAGCAACTATTTGGCACCAGTTTATAGGAAATTGGTAGAAGCCCTTAAAAAATTACAAAGAATTTTCTAGCATATAACAACACAGACAATGAATTTAATTGATAATTCAAGGGTGAAATTGTTTATTCTACGATTGGCAAGTATTTAGTATCTTGAGAGAAATCAAGTGATAAATTTTTCATAACAATTTCATGTCTGTTCCTTGATGTCAACATTCGAATCTGATATTGAATTTCTTAGTGGCCATTCTACGCATTTCTGTCTCAAGACTCTAACAGATCTAAGTAGAATCTCTCTGTTTCCCGAAGAAACAACTGAATCTTGATGTAAATGAATAATCGAGAAGTGAATGTCAGTTTGATAGAGTTTGAACAGGTTCATCTAAAAAATTTCAAAGAATTTCGATTCATTTTATCCAGAATCAAGAAATCTGCACATTCTGATACTTAGGACATACCAAAATAAGTGACACCATTATTTTACTCCCTTAATAGAAAGCTTGAATAAATGTTTCTTTTGTGTGAATGTGGTTATGAAAGTATCGAGTGTGAGTGTTCCTTTTATGTACATCCACATTTCACATTCACACCCTTTCTAGCACAGCAACTTTATGTTGATCGTGATGGCTCGGCATTTGTTGCTGACTCAGCCAATAGTCGAGTGATGAAATGGTCGCTAAATGCTTCAGTGGGAGAAATTGTCGCTGGTGGCACTGGCGTAGGTATTAATTCAAATAACATAGGTTCTCCTACTTCAGTTTTTGTCGATCGGCTCGGCTCGATCTATGTTGTCGATACATATAATGAGCGGATCGTTCGCTGGCTAAAAGGCGCTCAGGCCGGTACTATCATAGCTGGGGGGCCCGGTCTAGGTTCTTCGGCCAAACTACTCGAACATCCCAAAGATCTGGCTTTTGACCGTGAGGGCAATTTGTAGGCTAGTTCATAAATAACGTACGTCTCATACAGAAAACTAACTCTTGTTCATAGTTTGATGACGTTGAATATGAATTTTAGAGTATGTATGCGATTCTTATAACTATCGCGTACAGATGTTTGCTATCAACAAAACCTCTTGTGGTAAGTAACGTTTTGTCATGACTCTCACAGTAATATATAGCTTCTCATTTCTATTACTAGGAGGTGCTACTCGTGCATCAGTGATTGGAAAAGTTAAATAGAAAACGGCGCATGGCTTAGCATTGAATGTTCAACATTTTAGAACATTATTTTAATATTTGATTGAATTTCTACGGCGTAGACGATCGTTTATTGGCAATGTATCTCTTTCTAAATGCTTATTTGAATAAAAAAGATGGATGTAGTATTCCTTTTCTCTACATCCACGCCCTCATTCTGAAATGAATTGATTTGTGTTGATCTTACGTAGTCAATTTATTTAATCATACATTACTGAATCATTGCTAACATAGGTAACACACCGTTAATACTTCTTCAACAGTAAGATGATTATGTAGTCAACTTTATCTATGAATATCGTTTCTTTGCACTTTTAAAAATATAAAATATATGTATTATATTTCTTTAATTGAGATTTTTTTCCTAAAATTAATGTGTTCTATTACGTTTTAATAATTATTTTATAACACACCGCTCTTCTATCGTCAAAACAGGAGAGGGTGCAGGGGGGTGTATACTCTGTTCTTTAACACCTATACACTCATTACTTTTGCACCAGCTGTTATTAAAATATTCTGGTTTGCTCAGGCGATGTAAAGTTTTATAGATCAGAAGATGAACTTCTTCATTGGATCTACATCGAATTCGTTCGTGGGAGTTATGCAATAGCAAAGCATGAATTTATTTTTCACTCTGTTCAGTTTTCTTGAAAATATTTCGATAGTAATATGCATTCATATTTTTTTTTGACACAAATAAAGCAAGTAGACTTCTTCATCTCTTGTCTAGGTGTGCATCATTTCTTGAAATATTCAGATCAGTGTTGAATACTTTTACATCTGATTTAAACATCAGATACTTGTCAATCAGAAACAAACGAATATTTTATCTTCTTGATTTATATGAAATGATGTGATTCGCATTGTTTACTATCTCAGATTTCCACTTGACTGATAATGAATTGAACAAAAACAAAACGGAATAATTAGCGTATGGCGACAGTTTGATTAATATTTTTTTTCCTTGCGCAACATTTCCATTTCCACGTCTAAAAACCTACTCTGATGGGCTGAACGTATATTTTTTGTATATTTGTCTCAAAATTTTAATTTTTTAACAATGTATTAAAATGTGATTGTAAAAGAATTCCGATTAATCGCGATTTTACGTTCCTTTTCCGATAAATCACCAAAATCGCGGTGATTTTCACGACATGAGTATATAAGAGAAAGAGAAACAGGAGTAATCAAGTCGCCTCCTGAAAATTTATGAAATAAATAAAGATAAATTATAAGATTGTTTCTAATATCAAAAACATTATTTATTATCAGTTGAATGCTAATGACACTATCGTGAAAGATTATACAATAATTTATTGGTTTCACTTAAAATGTTACATGCTCTATTATTCCTCAGAATACGTATTCCTATTCAGAAGAACATATATTCTGAACGAATATTCAAAGCGGTAGCCCTCAATTTTACAATATATTCATTTCATAATCTATATGTAGTTCAAACTTCAATCTATAGTCTCATATAATGAACACTTGTATTTTTTTTTACATCAGATTATATTAAAGATCGTCATAGAAGGTCTCCAGTTTTGAAGACAATACCCAAGCAGACAAATTAATAGTATTGTGGGTGTGTTTACATAATTTTGGTTTAATATGAGTAAAAAATTTAATTTATGAAGAAATAAGTAATTTCAGTCTAGTAGCGTCTTGGTTGCTTTGTATGTATAGTTAAATCTATAGGCATGTTTTAAAAAAAGCATACTATTCGATTATGTTGATTTTAACTCTTGCTTTTTCAATTCATTTTAACGCACTGTTAAAAACAGCAGAGAAGCTCTTTTTACCCATTCTCTTCATGCAAGCCATCTACTCAAATGAAACCTTGGATGAGTACACGTTTTATGCTCTTTCGGTGAAAATTCTCTTCTTTTTTTTTATTGACACAAATAGAGAACGAAGAAAAGACAGCGGCATACATCACAAAAAAACCTTCACTAAAAAGAAAACACAAAGCGTCCACAACACCCATTATTTACTCAAGTAACATTCTGCAGACATTCTCTTGGAGTTTTTCAATTCTCATCGTCTTGCAATACACGTATTTTAACTAAAGTAAGTGTCTCAGAGAATTTCATCAGTACCTGTTCTTTTAAAATCAACTAATTAATATTGAATATGGAAGAGAAATATTTTTTGTAACAGAAAAAAAACATTGTTAGGAAGTCCATACTAACAACACTTCTTTACGGTGGGTGTGGGTGTGGGGTGAGAACACAGCATAGGCGATGCTTTTCTGGGAGCATTTGCATGTCATTCAAGACATGAAAAGCGCTGTCCCACGTACCAGACCAATTTTTATTCGATGAGCCCATCGGAAATGGTATTATTCGATTGAGGAATCAGCTCTTTACTGCACATCGTCAATCGGAGATCCAACACAAATCGAGAAGAAAATCAGGTGCTAGTTTTAACTAAAATTTTCGAAATCTATACCATAGCATCACATCTTAGATCATTCATTCAGTCATAATCGAGTTTTTGCGCAGCTAGTCATTTCACTCATAGTTCCACCCATTTGCGCTTATATATTCATCTGGCTTCCCGTGTATAGTAGCGTCTCTATCGTCTCATAAAATATACACCGTAGATCTCCCATACCCCATCCATTCATAGCCTCATTCTTTTGATTTTTTTTGTGCTCTAGATAAATATAAGACTATTATGACTCATATCAATAGTCGTCTTCTTGATGCTAGCGCAGAGCGTTTAAATTCACTGACTCCTCTGCGTGGGTATGCAGAAGAGCGTTTAGTGAAATTAGTTGATGCTGTTGTGCCATTGCGCAAATTGGTCCATGATATTGACGCACGCGTCTGGACCGCTACGAACAGATCAGAAAATCCAACGGATGAACTCACTCCGGATGAATCAGCCGCTATCATTTTATATACAATCGAATGGGATCCTAGTCATCCCAGTCTTTACTTTGTCTTAAATGGAACACTTCGTTTAGAAGATCGAAGAAAACTTGTTCCTTGGTTTTCTTATTTAAAATTACTTTTAACTGGCTTATACAAGTTGCCATCAATCCGCTGTACGGTTTGGCGAGGGGTACGCGGTGATTTACGCTCGCACTACAAGCTGGGCGCCAAAATGACGTGGTGGGCATTCAGTTCGTGTACGGCTTCAATTAGCGTTCTCGAAAGCGAACAATATTTAGGCACATCAGGCACACGCACTTTATTTGTGATTGAGTGCCTGAATGGAAAAGATATCAAGCGGCATTCATACTTTGCACAGGAAGAAGAAATACTGCTTCTTCCATGTACACATTTTCAAGTTATTAGCCATTTAAGCAGTATGGAAAACTTGCACATTATTCACTTGCGTGAAATTACACCCCCATTTATGTTGCTGGAACCACCTGATGCTACGTTCCTAGGTGAGAAAAGCTTCAG